GGAGTGCCTGGGCAACCTAAGTCTGCAAAGTGGAAAACAAGGGGGTTAGGCACAGATCATTGGACCGTGCTACAAAATAAAAGCAAGAATAGGAGTCCTACTTCAGCTATGTGGATGCTACAGGTTCTGTCTCGGTTTTAACAAGATGCTTAGTAGCTCGGATTGAGCAAGGGGTTCGATAGCTCGGTCTTGGCAAGCGATTTGCTATCTCGGTTAAAGAGAACGCTAAGTTAGACTGGTTGAGCCTCTAGGGGCAGCTTTCTGAGTTCGGTCTAAAAACTTAGAAAGCTGGCTTAGCCCCAAAGGCCTAGCTCGGTCGAAAGATAAGGTTTCAGTATGCTACGTTCGGACTTAGTACGGTTCGTTTACCTTGGCTAAGGTTTATCAAGAAGTGGTTTGACTTATTGAAACTACTGGTACGAGTGTTAGTTCGGTTGTATAGTCTGGTCTCACTGGCATCAAACTACAAACGGTTAACTAGTTCGGTTATGTGTAATTTTGAATCAAAAGTAGTGTTCTACAGGTTATTTCATGAATACCTGAGGATTATACTAACATAGTGTTTTCAGAGGAAGCAAAGCAAATGGAAAAAAATGTATTTTACAAAAACACACAAAACAAAGTACGAAAACAAGGAAAGCAAGATAGAGGTGCAGTGCTTACCAGATGAAGAGGCAAGAACTGGAGATGGAAGTAGAAAATGGCAGCAAGCACGAGCTTCACAATTGCAGAGGATGGAGAACAATGGAGGCAAAAGGAGAGAAGAAAGAGTGAATGGTGTAAAGTGATTCAGAAACAAAGGATTGTTTTTGTGAAAAGAGAAGGGGCAAAAGGCGGGAACTGTTCAGATTTTGCGGAGTACGAGGGCGGTGCGACAGCTGCAGTAAGCCAATACCAGCATGCCATATGTCATAGGGATGAGAATCGATTCAGTTTCTGTGATTGAAGGAACGTTGTGACCGGACAAGCACAACTCGGCTTAAGTTTAGCTCGGCTGGGAAGGTTAAAAGTATATAGCTCGGCTTTAAAGGATTCAAAGTCTTAGCTCGGCTGGAAAGGCTAAAGGGTTTTTTTAGCTCAGCTGAAAAGATAAAACTTTAGCCTGGTTTATAGACAGGTAATCCCTATCATGCTACGCAGATGGAATTAAGGGGCAATTGAGAGAGTAATTTATACTTATAAGTTGGCCGAGCTGGGTAATAGGGCGTTATGGGCCACGTTGCGAAGGACTGAGTAAAAAGGCCATTAAGTTACTTCGGCCCAACAGAGGTGTGAAGTTACTTCGGCCCAAGAGGGGTATAAAGTTACTCCGGTCCGAAAGAATCTTGAGGGTTACTCCGGTCTAAAGGAAGCTTTGAACATAGCCCGGTTGCCGTATTCAAAGTTAGTCCGGTCTTAGCTTATCGAGGTTATCTAGGCCAGAACCTTGCTGTTTGATAGCTCGGTCTGATCACACCATGGTTGGCGCTAGGAGAAACCTGGGTAAGAGCCATGAATGGAAGAGTCGAACTAAAGTTAGCTCGGTCTAGTCTGCGGCTTAGCATAAGCCATGCTTACCTCGGTCATAGTGGAATCCAACCATGGTAAAACCATCTCACTTGGTTTAAGCAGTGATGGTGGTGTTGAAGGATAAGCATTATCTTTCAGGAGTATGAATCCTAGGAGGACTCTACATGGAGGAATAAGAGTCCTACTTGGATTGTGCCACACGGAACCTATAAAAGCTCACAAACATCACCTTTGGAGAGGTAACACAACTTTGCTTTCTGAATACACAGAGCTTTTGTCTATTTGTCAAACTTACTGACTTAGGCATCGGAGAGGTTTCCGGCACACACCCGCCGGCTAGCTCACGTTTGTGTTTTCAGGTGATAAAGCGACGACGTACGGAGGAGCACAGACTTGATCAACAGGATTATACGAGAAGGTTTATTTCTTTCCCGTACAATTCTATACATTTTTCATTTTTTTAATATATTTATTAATTTTTTAAAATAATTTTCTATTTAGATATATCTAAGTAAGGTATATCTAAAAAAGTAAAAAAAAATGCTTAAAATTTTAAAAAATTAATTAAAAAAAAAAAGAAAAGTAAAAAATTCAATTTTTAAAAAACTAAAAGCAAACACACTGAATAGTTTATTTGATAAGCGCCTAGCCAAAAAGGGGTTTACTAATAGGCAGTGGCTTTGGTCCAGTCCAAGATCGGACTGGACTGTGCTGTTGGGCTCGTGAGGGCCCACCAAAGGTCCCATTTTGATAATACGAACCGTTCAATGCGTAGAACTCGTCGAGCACTATATGCTTGTAAAAAATCACGTTGATCGGATATCGATAGCTATGTGAACAAAACAGTTTTTTATCAACTGTTAATTTTTTCACCGTCCATTTTTTTTTATACAAAACTAATTTGATCACATAGCTATTGATATCCGATCAACGTGATTTTTTACAGGCATATAGTACTCGATGAGTTCTACACATTTAACGGTTCAGATTATTAAAACGGGTCCAAAAAATGTGCCTCATGAACTGGACTGGACGGATCCAGTCGTGATCTCAACTTGAGACAAGCTGGACCTTACTAATAAGTACACTAGATAATTGCATTCATTTGTTTGATATGATTTATAAGTAATTAATATGATTGGTTGTTAATAAATATCACCTTCAACTCTCAACCAAACTAAAGAAAACTTAAAGTGATCACTACTATTCTAATCTCGTAGTCAAATAAATATTTATACACGGTTTTATTCATGAATAGAATTAATCAAAACAAGTGGAATGGGTCTAATCTTAGACTTAACTAACTATACTTGACTTAGGATTTATTTGGCATGTAGGTTTGGCGTGGCTTGGAGTTATTTTAGTCACAAAAAGATAAAATAGATTAAAAAATTAATAAGATAAAATGTCACATTCAAACTATAATTATTTTATTTTTTTCTCATAAAAGTCAAAAAAATAAAAAAAACTCATCCTAAACGAGACTTTTTAGCCCCAGACTAAAATAACTAAAAAAATTAAAAAGTTAAAAAGCCAACTCACATCTCAAATGAAGGCTTATTATGTAGTTTCGATTCTATTTTAATTAGTCGATGATTACCATCTATCTAACAAGAAGTATAGCTATTGTCGAATTTTGACATTTGTTAATTTTGAGCAATAAATTTTGTTTATCTTAAATTTACAATAATACCATTTCTCCAATTTTATAATTTACGAAGTTGTTGTTTTCTTAATTTAAATTTTTTACTATATTTTTCTCATATTAAATTTTTCTAAAAAAATTAGGTTCATATCTGTTATTATTTTTTAAAATGCATTTGTCAAAAAATATATATTTAAAATGCATTTGTCAAATATATATATATATATATATATACCAAGGCTATGTGTGTTTGGCCTAGTAATTTCGTGGTCCATGAGATCACAAATTTTTCCATTTCCATAAAAGAGGTGGGACATAGAATGATTAAAGATTACAACAATAGCTTAAATTTTCTTAGTCTGAATGGTTTGAATGTCTCAAAACGATATCATTTTGATATATTCGAGTCATTTAGATTACACAAATTCGAACTACCAAACATTTTTTTAAAGATTATTATACTCTCACTTTATAAAAATAACAAAGTTATTTTTTATATAATGAAATTTTAACATAGTACACAATACTCATAATATTGACTTAATTTTACATAATAATTATTAATACTTATAAAATTTTATATAATAATTTTGTTTTAATAAGCACATTGCTTAGGTCTATTCTAGTAAGGAAGAAAAAAGTTTAACTTTTTAATTTTTTTTTAAAAATATACAAAAATAAAAAAATAATGTGACTTAAATAAGCTAATAAACTAATAAATTAATTTTTTTTCTTAATTTCTAAAATAGGCCTTAATTACACAATATTCATAATTTTACGCAACGTAATTCGACAATACTTCAAAAGAAAACTCAAGTGCACAGATGAATGTTGCAGAACGAGAATAAATAAATTAATTATATATATATATATATATCCCAATTAAATTATTATTAACTTTTTTTTTATTTTTATTTTTTATATTTGTGTTTAATTTTATAGAAATAAAATTATAGTATAAAAGTAAAATCAGTCTTCCAACCAATAGGGAAAATCTAAAATGTGTTTTTTTTTTTAGTTAACAAGTAAAATTTTCAAATATGTCTTTTGTTAATTTTAGACCTCGTTTGGGAACTCTCTATTTTAGTCAAAAATTCAAAAAGTTATTAAATTAGCTAAAAAGTCAACAATTCATACCAAAAAGTCAAAGATTCTATTTTCTCTCTATTTTTTGCACATCTTTTCGTAAAAAGCTAACAAATCATCCCAAACATACTAATTTTTTTTAATTTATATTTTAGTCAAATAACTAAAAATTTACTAAATTAGTATATTTCCAAACGAAACCTAAAAAGCTTAAGATTATCTAATATCAGTTTAACCAGAATAGAACAAGTGATAAACTTTGAATGTATGCATTAACTTCACAATGCATACACTATTTAGGCAATCCTAAGACGACTACATTAAACCCTCAGTAGAATTGAGATCTCAGAACTTATCTAAGTTCTTCCAAAATCTTACCTTACCAAAATACCACAAAATTCTCTGGTTAAAAATCTAAAATGTCAGCTCCTCTGACCTGGCCCCAGTGAGCTCTACACAAAGGCGCGTGTGGGTTACCACTCTCTCTCACTCTCTCTAACCGAACCTTCGGTTGGGTCCTACGCCGAGGTGTGTCTCTCACCAAACCTAAGCAAATGCCAGATGGCCTTCCAACTCACTACCACTTCTCCTCTCTCTCTCTCTCTCTCTCTCTCTCTCTCTCTCTCTCTCTGTTTTGCTATGCTCTGCTCGAGTCCGGATCCTCTGCTTTGCTCAGCTTATAGTACACGCAATTTGACTGCTAGTCACTTACTCTCTCTCTCTCTCTCCGAAACTTCTTTCTTTCTCAACACATACATTCAAGAATAAACAGAGCGGCCCCAGAAAAACCCCCCTTCAAATACCCACTTCCTCCATTCCCTCTCTCTCTCATATATATAACCTTCATATTATTTCTTTGTTCGTACCTCGTCTGAATCTCTCTCTCTCTCTCTCTCTCTCTCAATATACACATCCATTGAAGAAGAAACAGAGCAACCCCAAAAACAACTTTCAAACAAACCACAAATACTCACTTGCTCCTTTCCCTCTCTCTCTGTTCATACTTCATCTGATTCTGAATCTCTCTCTTTATTTGTTAATATTTTGTCTCTATCAATGGTGCATTATCAGAGATATCATCCACTGAAGAAGGGTCTAGAGTTGGTTGTTGTAGATGAGGAGTCACAGAGTAGCTTTGTGGGTTTAATCTGTGGAAACTCTATTTTATACAACAAGAGAACAAGACCCGGGCTTCTCTCTCTCCTCCTTCTTTCTCTAATCTCCTTCAGCTTGATTTTGGCCCCTCAGTTCCTCAACTTTCCCCCCGACTTCTCTCTCTTATGTAAAGCTCTTTCATTCTCTCTCATGGTTTCCCTGGACTTCCATTGATTTCTTCTTGTTTTGGGTCTTAATGCCTCTCTCTCTTCTGGGTTTTTGCAGATTCATTTGGACATGAAGATCAAAGCCTTCTTGCTGAGATGAATGCAAATACCCCCCTTTGCTCTTCAATCCCTAATGGTTGGTTATTTCTTTCTCTATCTGTATTATTATTTTCAGTTCTTGGCAACATTTTCAACATGCAATTATGTTGAGATGGGTATTAATCACTGTTTTCTTTTTTTATTTTTTATTTTTATACTTATTATTATTTTTGGTAGTTCTAATATTTTTAGACATAGTGAGATGCATATGAAAGATACCCCCGTCTCAATCTCAGATGATTAGTTTTTGTGCTACAATGTGAAGTAACAGTGTGATGGATTAAAAAATAAAAAAAATTACCCTGCTTGTTTCAATCTCCAATGATTTTTCTTTCATTTTTTCTTTTGTCTTGATGTAAAATATGCATGAAAAATACCATTTTTTTGTTCTTCAATCTCAACATATATTTTTATTTATTTTGTCATTTGATTAATCTCCAATGATTCTTTTTCCTTTCCTTTTGTTTTTATTTGTTTTTGGGACCTCTAGCATTTTTGTTTTGGGATTTAACTTCTAATCATGGCGGTATGGATATAGCCAATACCCTTTTGTTCCTCAGACTTCAGTTTTTGTATTTTGTATTTAGTAATTTTTTTTTTCCCTTTCAATCAAGCTGAAATGAAATGGGTATTTTTTTTGACAATGTTTTTACATTTTCAACATTGTGTTCTAATTTGGAATTTTTTTTTAATGTTTTAAATTCAGGAACAATATGTTGTGATAGAAACAGTATTCGATCCGATATTTGTATCATGAAAGGGGATGTGAGAACAGGCTCTCTCTCCTCTTCAATCTACCTCTACACCTCAACAAACGCCAATGGCTTCATAGATTATGTTCCTGACCTGACCGATGATGGCGAAGAAGACAATGAACAAGAACTCCAACATGAAAACATTAAGCCCTATACCCGAAAATGGGAGAAAAGTACTATGGACACTGTTAGTGAATTACACCTTGTTTCAAAGCGAAAAACTGGGTCCCGCCGTCGTTGCGACGTCTGGCATGACGTTCCTGCGGTGTTCTTTTCCACCGGGGGATATACCGGCAATATTTACCATGAATTCAATGATGGGATTGTGCCTTTGTACATCACCTCACAACATTTCAACAAGAGGGTTGTGTTTGTTATTCTTGATTATCATGAATGGTGGTTTACTAAGTATGGTGATATCATTTCGATTCTATCGGATTATCCACCAATTGATTTTAGCGGAGATAATAGAACCCATTGTTTCCCTGAAGCCATGGCTGGTTTGAGAATCCACGATGATCTGACCGTCGATCCTTTGTTGATGGAAGGGGGTAAGACTATTAAAGATTTTCGTGACATTTTAGACCAGGCTTATTGGCCTCGAGTCAAAGGTCTAATTGAGGATGAGGAACGTGAAGCGAAATTGAATAATCTCTCTTCACCGTCTTCATCACAAAAGTTACTTGAAATAAGGACGGAATTGAAGAAACCGAAACTAGTTATCTTATCGCGACAAGAGTCTAGAGCGATAGCTAACGAGGATTTGTTGGTGAAAATGGCAGAACAAATTGGATTTGAAGTGGAGGTTTTGAGGCCTGTCCGTACTTCTGAGCTGGCGAGAATTTACCGGGTGCTTAATTCAAGCGATGTTACAATTGGTGTCCACGGTGCGGCTTTGACACATTTTTTGTTTATGAAACCAGGGTCGGTGTTGATCCAAGTGATCCCACTTGGAACAGAATGGGCTTCAGAGACTTACTTTGGGGAACCGTCGACAAAGCTCGGTTTGAAGTACATTGGCTACAAAATTCTTCCGAGGGAGAGCTCATTGTTCGATGAGTACGACGAGAATGATCCGGTTCTAACTGATCCGAGCAATGTGGGGAAGAAAGGGTGGGAATTCACTAAGAAGATCTATCTTGATCATCAAAATGTGAGGTTGAATCTTGTGAGGTTTCAAAAGCGGTTACTTCGGGCATACGACTACTCATTCGTTAAGAACCGGGATTTTTATCTACAATCACATTGACACACTTTTTGTTTCGGTAGAAAATATTTTTTTTATAAAAAAACATGATTTTTGGGGAAAAAATACTTTCTACTCAAACAAACGAAACATCATTCTCCACTCTTTTTGTTTGAGCTCATTGAAAGTTGTAGATTCTTAACCATAAGCAAATATGCTTCCTTCTGGTAAATATACACTTTTGAAATAAAAATTCTATTGTTTTATTATTAGTTTTTTCTTGTAAATTTGGCTTATTTTGTTGTAGTGGATTCAATTTATACTAGTGAAATATAGGATTAAACTCAAATCAAATAAAACAATGTTGTGAAGGTTCAATAATGATGGTTTCTCACAACTGTTTGTTTTGTTTGGCGTCATTTTAATAACAATGGTCTAAATGTTCAACTGTTTGGGTTTGATTTTAGGATTTAAAGTGAAATTTGCCGAAAAATAAAAAGACAAAAAATAAAAAATAAAAATGACAACAAACAAAAATATTTGTTTTGTTTGTTGTCATTTTAATTACAACGTTTTAAATGTTCAACTGTTTTGAGTTTGAATCTAGAATTTGAAGTGAAATTTGCCGAAAATAAAGACATAAACAAATGACAACAAACAAAAAAATATTTTCAACATATGTGTTGTTTGTTTAGATAAAATATTTTTAACATTTTATGAAGTTTGATGTGATGAAAAATTGAAGTCCATAGAAAAAATTCTTTGTATAAAAAAGTTTTTTCTACTTTCCTGATGTGAAAAATGCTTTTCAACTAATCTTATCACTACTATCACCATCACCTCCCACCACTAATTATTATTACTACCACTATCTTTACTTGTCATCGTTGTCGCCACCCCTAAGACCTCCATCTCCAACATCCCACCATTACAATCGCTTAATAATTATTAACTTAATAATTTTAAGATCGCAACCAAAGAAGGCAGCTATTAGTACCTATTTTTTTTTCTTTGGCTCTCTCATTTTTTGGAATCCCCATCCAACTAAATGAGTTTCTTCTATTTTTTCTTTAAACTCTCATCTTAATACCAACTATATCCATAATCCCAAACTCAAACCCAAACCCAAACCCTAGCCCTCACTCCCAACCACCACCTCTGGTAGCTCACTCACCGGAGCCTTTATCGCCGGTAGTCCCACCACTTTCACTACCTTCCTTCTTCTTCCCGCTTCCTTCTTCTTCATCACCCCCTTTGCCACAGCTCCAGCAAACCACCATCGCACCCCACTGCCTCCTTTTCTTCTTCTTCCCATTGCGATCCCATGGAATGTTTAGGAACCAATTGAGCAAAACCCTAACCGTCAAAACACCACTGTATATATGCATTCGTATAAGTTTTTACAAATATACATAAGTTATCTCATAAAATAGCGTAAGTTCTCACCAATATACTTAAGTTGTGATTAATCAAATTTTTATAGGTTAACTTATGTATGTTTGTGAAAATTTATACAATTTTATGAGATAACTTACACATATTTATAAGAACTTATACAAATATATATGATACACACTTGCACATTTAAAAATTGTGTATTAATAGGTCACTTTAGATCTGCCTTTTCCGCATATATATATATATACTTTAATAATTAGGTAAGATCGTTATGTTATCGTCAATTTTTCAATGAAAATGATGTTATTTCAGTTGGGAACTTGGGGAAGTAATATTTGTTGTCTCTATCTCAGCAGCATGGCAAAAGCTTGGAACTAGCTGGCTATATTATGAATGAAAATGTCAACCAAATTATTCTAAAATAAATTCAGCTTCTTCTAGGGTTGTTCAATCATTTCTTTTTTCTTTTTTTTTTTTCCTTTTTTGGTACAGTGGAAACAGGAAAGGAAACAGCAAGAAACAGGACAGAAAAACAAACAAACAAACAAACAAACAGGGGGGGAGGAAGAGAGGCTTGAGCCACCGAATCAAAAGCTGCTTCAGTTTTGCCCATCTCACGTTGTGATTGATCAACCATGTGTTCAATCATTTCAAAACCAGCAAATCATCACTAATAATCTTATTCAATAATATTTCATCAATCAAACTCTTTTAAAACGTCACACACTTAGGCCCCGTTTGTTTTGGGCTATAGGGAGGGCATTGGGACTAGTAATACCAAGGTATTACTAAAGTCCCTGTTTGTTTGCAGAGAAAGGGTTGGGACTATTAGTCCCTTGGTATTGCTAATACCCTTGAAAGGGGGATTGGTAAGGAGGAGGTAGAGATGGTATTAGAAAATAGTGAGGGGATTAGAAATTTTTTTATTTTTTATATATTGGGAATTTTTTTTTAAATATAATGTTTAATTTTTTATATTTTTTTATTTGTTTTATTATTTTATATAAAAATAATTTAACAATTCCTCATTATTAATCCCCTCACTATCAATCCCCTCACTAACAATCCCCTCACTATTAATCCCCTCACTATCAATCCCCTCCATTCTATCTCCCAAAACAAACGGGCCCTTATTTTTCTAGTCAAACAAACTGTTTGGACAAGCTAGTAGCACCCTATTATGTTCATAGAATAGTGAAATTTGCCAAATTTTCCTATATTGATTTCTTCAAAACTCTCTATATGCCGATATTGTTATGGGGATATTACAATTCAGTACAAATTTAGAATTTTTTTTTTTTTACATTAGTGGTAAATTTTATAAATATTAATAATTAAAATTCTAAATTTTTTCATATATTTGTAAATATTTTTTCAAAAGACCATAAATTGTAATTTCCTTTATTTTTATCTTGTTTAAGCCAAGTGATATACCAATTAAAGGAGGGCAACAAGGAAAATTGCCCCCCTAAAATTTCTAAAATTACCATAGTAGCAAGAATAGCTATTAATTATTTCTACATTATACAAAATTTTCAACATTAATACTATTGGGCATCACTATCATCACTAATATAACAACTCATACATTAATTTTAAAATCGCAGCTAAACATAAAAAAAAGTTATTTTGTTTTTATAAAAATTATATATATATATATTTTTGAAGAAATAACAGATCACGTACTTTTGCACCATTTGGTTCTGCCTTCCCATATTTGTTAATAAGGTACGACCAATAAGTTATTGTAATTTTCCATGAAAATGATGTTTCAGTTGGAACTTGAAGTATTTTCCAAGAAAGCTGTTGTACCATGATTTGCTATGAATGTCAACTTAACAATAAGTTATTGTAACAACCCGTTTAAAAAGAAAAGAAAAATTGCTCTGGGTTTCCAAATAAAATGTAAAGCTTGTTTAGTAACTATTTTGTTTTTAATTTTTAATTTATATTTACAAAAATTTTAAAAGTTGTCATAAAAACTTGTTTGATAATTTTTTTAGTTTAAAATGTTTTTTTCAATTTGTAAATTTGAGAAAAAAATATAAACTTAAAAAATGAGTTTACGTTAGTTTTTAAATAGAAATTTAAAAATTTGACTAATAAATTTTTTTTTCAATTAATTTTTTTTTCAATAATTTTTTTTCAAACAATTTTTTTTCCCAATTAATTTTTTTTCAAATAATTTTTCTTTTCTATTACTTTTTTTTTCAATTAATTTTTTTTAATTATCTATTGTCATAAATAACAAAAAATAAATATAAATATTTTAGGTCTGAATAAACATATTTTTTAGTTTATGTTTTTAAATTTTTTTAAATATTTTGTTCAAACCAAACACGTTTGTAGTTTATATTTTTTTAAAAATAAACAAAAATCAATTTATAAAATTTTTTGTAAACATAAACAAAAAATATATGATACCAAACGCTATGTAAGTATTTGTAAATAAATTATTCTCTGCTGTTCAATCATTTCAAATTCAAAACCAGTAAATAATCACCATCAATCAAATTCAATACAATTAATGATTAATCACATTGTTTTAAATGTAAAACTGTTTTTTTTTTTTTTTTTTTTGGAGGGTCAAACAAACTGTTAAAACTAGGGGTGTCAGTTTGGATTGGTTTTGAAGGAAAATCATCAATTAACAGTCCACAATTAAAAAAATTTCAATTTGTCGGCAACTCACCTATCTTTAAAATTGCCGAATTTTTAAGCCAATTGGGTGAGTTAGAAATAGTTTTGTGTATACTTGCAGATGGGGCAAGTCAATTTGTATGCTGGTTGACAAATTTTAACCCGTAATAAGCCAACTAATCCATCAATTTTTATCACTTAACCGGTCCAATCCAACCCACTCACATTCTCAAACCATACAATTAATTTTTTATATTGATTTCCTCAAATCTTTCTACCTCTTTCCTTATCTACTTTAATCCATGTCATATATTGATTATAGAATCAATCACAAATAATAACGGCGAACATAAAAATCAAATGGTAAGCTCATCACTGAAGAAGCTGCTTCACTCACATTGCTCTACTTACATTTTTGTAGTTGGATTTTGTGTATGTAAAATTATTGGTACAAAGTGGTTCAATCAAAAACATTCCAAGGTGAACATAATTTGGAGCTGTTCCATTGATGTGAAAGTGTCCAAAACTATTTTGGCCTGGAAAATTTTCAGCACTTAATTAGATTTGGTTTTTTTCTCATATTGAACACCAATTGGATGACCGTTGGGACTGTTTGGCTTCCACGAAAATAAAGTTTCAATTGTAAAGTATATTGTAACTGAGCATGGCAAAGTCCTAGGGGCCCAGGAAGGACATTGTACTGATATGTGTTGGGTATATACTTTGTGAATGTCCTATCATTTTATCCTTTGACCTTCTTCAAGTTCCATTGTATTAAATACTATTTTTTGTCTTTAAATTTTAACTCAAAAAAGGCCAATGTGAATTGTTCTTGGTGGACCCATTGTCTTTTGGATTTTGAGACGTGTTTTGAGGGGGAAAATGTTGGAAAAAAATAAATAAATTTACAAGGGGTATAAAAAATAATTGTAAAAGGACATGAAAATTAGAAAAATATATACAAAAATATGAAATTTGCTGAATTAGGGGGGAAAAAAGACCAGAACCCAAATCCTCACCCCTCCCACATTGCCCCTACAAAGTGTATTTTTTGAACAAACCAGCTGAAAATTTTTCAAGCGAAGGTTTGTTTGCATAGTTTTTTCCTCATTTCTAGATGAGGGTTGAGTATTTTTGGAAAGGAAAATCATTTCTTCTTTGGTTAAAAGAAAGGAGAGGAGAGAATTTTTTTTTTCATTTCATTTCAACATCTTTTCTTCTCTCCTCACTTACACCAGCGAGAAGAAAGTGAGAAGAGAATAAAAGGTTACGTTTAGTAGTGTTTTCTAAATATAATTTGAGAATAAAGTTGTATTTTGAGTTTGTGAGTTTTAAAATTATAATTTGAGTATGAAAAATTTGTTTGATGAATAAGTTTTGAAAAGAGTTTTAAATTGGGTAGAGAATTTTTGATGTGACATATGATATTTGATACAAAAACTTCAACTCATAATCAAACACACAACTTTTCTATTAAAACTCGTAACTTTTATATTGTATTGTTCCGGTCAACCGGTCGGACGATCAGTGAATAAGTTATATTTTGAGTCTATGAGTTTTAGATTTATAATTTGAGTGTGAAAAATTTGTTTGGCGAATAAATTTTGAAAAGAATTTTAAATTGAGTGGGAAATTTTTGATACAAAAACTTCAACTCATAATCAAACACACAATTCAAAATTCTATTAAAACTCATAAAAAAATTTTAAAAATTCAAAAAATATTTTTTATTAAATATAGAAAAATTAACACGTGTCAATTGCAATATATATATATATATATATATATTGTGCTGTTCTGGTCAACCGGCCGGATGATCGGTGGGACAACTGGTTAGCCCAAATTTTCCTACTTTCGACCGAGTTTTCAAAAGTAAGTGTAGAATTAATTTTTGAAAATCACAACCAAATACTATATACAAATTAAGAGCTGGAATCACAATTCTAAAGCAATTCTAAAGCTCTTCCAAACATAGCCAAAATTTTCCTTTCCTCAAACCAACCACATTTTGTTGGCAAGAATTGAAACGTGTCATTCCAAAAGGCAATATGAACTTCAATAAGGTGCCAAATGCAGTTCAACCTTGGCCCCGGGGGGAAAAAAAAAAAAAAGAAGAAAAATGGAAAAAAGAAAAAGAAGAAGCTGAAATCATATGAATGAATTATTAATCTGGCAAAATGTCAACAAATGGTTTGTTGTAAACAGAAGTCATGGCTACTCTGAATTAAAAAGTGTGTCCTAAATCAAATCTCAGCAGAGTATGCTTCAAGCCGAAGCACCACACCACTATTATCCTCTTTTGCTTATTGCTAAATGATCTACATCCACTGATTCGTTGCCTTGGCCGATATGTGGACCGGAGGCGGTGTCTTCGAATTTCTAGTTTCATTTGTACCTTCACACAAATATAAGCAATTGATAATATGGAATCATCATATACCCCGTTGTAGACCACAAAGCAAAAAGGTATGCCAATGAGGGTTCTGCTAGTTTAACTTACAAGAGTTCGTTGATTTACCTCCAAGAGAAGATCTCCTGTCTGATGTTTGAACGACACCCGTCAGTGGGGATGCATTAGACGAAACTGGTGACCTTGCATCATGAATCTTGCGCATGCCATTTACTGGGGATGCTTCAACTTTTTTTTGTTGATTCCTGCAATTTTTAGCATTGAGATTTTCAGAGAGCGGTCTAAACTTGGAACTTTAGACCATGTTTGGTACTATGATTCGGGGAGGGAAAGGAAAAGAGAAGGGAAAAGTGACAAAAATCTAGCTTATTTTTCATTCACTTTTCCCCCTCAACCACAAATCCTTTTTCCAAATCCAAGATCCAAACACTACCTTAAGCACCTCCCAATTTCACCATTTAACAAGTTATGCACTAAAATAACAGACAAAGGGAGCCAAGGATAATACCAATTCATGGTTTTGACTACCTTTTCCCAGAGCCGTTAATCAGCTTCCCAATTGTCCGAAGCGATTTCCTTATGTGAGATCCTTTTCCATTTGCATTACTAGTCAAGCCAGGGGTTCGAGGCTCCGTAGAAAAGTTAGACTCACCGTGCATCATGATATGAACCTCATTTCTAACAAGTTTTGGTGGCTCAGGTGTCTTGGGTTGAAGAGTTGGACTCTGAGGAGCCCTTGGACGATATATGTCGATCATGGATTCACCATTACTGACATGTCCATATGGCTTTGTGGCTGCTTCAGGATCTTGAAATTGGGTATATTTCTGTACCAACACTGCTTCGGATGGTAGGAGATTGCTCACAGTTTCAGATAGTTTGATCTGCACTGGATCCTTGGGAACAGTTCTTGAACCTTCTAAACTTAATCTCCGTGAGCGAGTTGGCATAGAAGGGCTTTTAGGTCCCCTTTTGTCAACAGAATTGATTGCTCTCTTCATTTCCGTTTTGTTGGAATTTTCAATGCTCAACCTTTGGGAGCGTGGAGGAGTACGTTCAGTCATTGCATGCGGTGGTTTCTCAAATGGTGATCTTGGCTCCTTTGGTTTAGTAGGTTGAACAGTCCGTGCTTCCTTGTTAGCCAATGCCTTCTTGAGGCTCTCAATCTACAACGTGTAAAAAGTTCATGTTAGATCGACACTAGTCCCAAAATCTTAAGATTTTAAAAAATGGGCTCAACAACGTATATCAAGCTCTCCAACACCCTCCCTCATGTGCAGTCCCGTCTTGCACATGGAGATGCAAATATTCATACATACAAAGAAAAAATAATGCTAACGGAGAAACTAGAACCCAAAACCTCCCCAACCTAAGCTTTGATGCAATGGTAGATTACCACAGTCCCAAAAGCTTAAGCTGTTAAGAAATGGCCTAAAAGATATGCAACGTGTGAACATGCCGTGCAATAGTGATGTAAGAAGATGCATTTACCTGTTGCTTGAGTTCCATAACCTCACTGCTCTCTTTGTTCATATGAGATACACCAAGTTCAACTGTCGAGACCCTCTGAGCAAACTTCAAAGTACTGATTGTCTCCCCAAAAGAATCTGCTTCAGGACTCACATGAGCGAACATCAATGTTTTCGCGTGTCCTCCTGTACGGTATTAAAACTGTCAGTATACAACATGCATAAATTTCATACAGAGAAGGCCTAAACTCCACAAGCAGAAGTGACCCGTCACATTTAGAATAGGTGATTTTGGCAAAAATTTGCAATAATAAGTTAATTAAATGAAGAGCTTTGAAAGACGGGTACATTTATATTGCATATTACAACCTAATGCATTCTGCAGGAGTAGCGTAAGCTTGCTGTTTCGGTAAGGAATGTGAGAACTCTTCTGAGCCAAGGCCGAGATCACATCTCCCAAACAGGAAAGAGATTTATTTATGTATTGTGCCTCCTTGAGGCCATCACCGTTAACTTCTGACTTTTCAACCCGTTCACTTCCTGCAAGGTCCACCAAATGGAGGCAACTGCGAAGAATACTTCCAGATACATCTTTACCGTGCACATGTACTGTCAAGACACTGCAAAATAAACAATTAATGTAAATCGACTTTTTCATCAAATTTAACAGATGAAAAAAATAAAATAAATGTTGGACCTGTGGGAACGACTACTTTGGTTGTTGATGGCAGTGGAACTGACAACACGATTGAGATCACCTCGTTTCATCAGGCTAAGAACATCATTGGTGGATTCCACATAATGCATGGAAGCATCAGGAATACTCAAGCCATTTTCACTAGTACAGCTTCGAATTTCTAATTTGCTGATAGTCAAGAATACAAAAATTTGGCAAATGAATAATTAAAGTGGAACAAAAAGTACAGCTTTCAAACAAAGAAAGCAATTTAACTGCCAAGAGGCAGAAAATTTATGTGCCAAGGGGCAGAAATGCAACTGCAAAAGGATATTTTGTGTTTTTAGAATCTTCGGCAAGAAGATCTCGTACTTGCTCGTTATATATCTCAACCATTTGGACATGAATATCATATTTCATGATGTTCTTCCTTGTATTAGACAGCCGAAAGAGATCACTGAGAGCTAGATAATTGATTCCCTGGTCCCTAGTTGATCCACACTGTCACAGAGGAAGACATATGCAGTGAGAAAATCTTGGTTTGAAAATAAAATAAATTTACAGAGACCATATATTTGACAATCAACAGTAAATCATGCAGGAAAAGCGGGAAAAAAAAAAATTACTTGCATCTGAAGCCAAATCAGAAAAGAACCTTACCATAGTATGTGTTTTTCCAGATCCAGTTTGACCATAAGCAAAAATGCATACATTGTATCCATCCATTACAGACCTAATTACTGGTTGAGTGTCCTTAAATATCTCATCTGTGTGTGTGTTGGGGGGGGCGGGAATGATTATTATGCCAAGTGAAGATAATTCACAAAATTTGTAAAACAGAAGAATCTGTGTATTACCCGAGAGAGATTTATACAACTGCGTAGCTTAGAATTGTCAATGCAAATATGACGTACAAGAAAATAAGACTTACACTGCATTCTAAACACTTTTATTAAAATTATTTTCTAGATTTATTAACATTATTTGTTTTACACTAAAGGTCATTTTTGATATTAGATGCTACACATTTAAGGGAAAATTAGATGTGGTGGTTACATGAGCTGTCTTTATGATTTGTTTTTTTATAAAATTTCTTGGTGACTTTTGTTCTGAGTTTTATAAATTTTCCTTTTTTAATCTGTTGTGGTTGTAATTATGGTTTATAATGATGGGTCTTAAAGATTATCAATAGACACATAGCGTCAAATATGTTATAATTTTAATATATAATCCATATATTCGAAAATAATTTTATCTATTTTTACGCATTACAATTATTTTTTATATCATTGTTATAGTAAATTTAGCAACCACAATCCATCAACAAGTGAGGTAGCATATCCTCACGTTTTTTTCAATTGGCGTTTGGACCCTCTATAGTGATCATGAGAAGTAAGGGAAATTATTTGATAATTTTGGAACATTATGTGGTATATTTTAAATTAATTTATCAATTACTAACCTTTATGTTATTTTCTCAATCCCATGAATAAATTGTATAGTCCTCTATCGATTCTCTAGCCAATTATAAATTTTATGTATCCATACTCTAAAAATTATGTAGATAATCACCATTAATGACGGTTTTTGTGGAAGAGTACTGGAGAGAATAGCTATACAGATGCTTGCTCTTGAATGGGCCAAGAATTGGTACAATAAACCATTCAATTACCCGCATACCAACGAGTTTCATTACATTATATAGGGGTTCAATTCAATCCTATTTCATTTTTCAAATATTTTTTTTTTTTTTTGCCGTGAATAAATTTTCCAATTCTAATTTCTTCATTGTTTTCGTTTTTTGCTTGGTGTCTATGAAGGTCTCAGGAAAGTTGGATTTTAGGTTTACAATAGGTGAAAAGTCTTGATTCTACACACAATCTACAATCAATATCTCATTTGGTCCTTAATCTTATTTTTCCTATGCTTTTGTTCTTTTAATATTTGTTTGATTTTGTAGCTTTCAGTGTTTGGTTTGTTTGTTCTCATTAGAGAAATTATCCCCAAGAATTCCCTATATTAAAGAGGTTCCACCGTTCAAACTTTTGTTATGATTTCTTTCTTGGAATCCAAAAAAATATCTTATTTTGAGTCAGATTTAACAGAGTTTTGCTTGATTTGCTTTCATGGCAATAGCTTACCAAGATCTGTTGCAAAGCTCTAATTAGATGTGCTACACGTGCACGCTCTAATGAGCCCTGGCCACGATAATAAAATAAAAAAAAAACAGTCGAGGTAAGAATGACCAAAATATAGAAAATAAAAAAGACAAATTAATGCTCCATTATGGCTCCTCTTTTAGATCCTACATCATTTTTCCAATAATTAACTGGCTGAAAACAGTAGGAGAACGGTCAGAGTGTAGACCAACAATCGGCGGCATCCGGGTGGCAAAGCGCGCAAAGGTGGGAATGGCGCGACGGTTCTCTCTCTCTCTCTTCCTTACTAAATTTATTGATCTTTCTTAAAGGCAACCACTTGTTCCATCACACTGGCTGTTTCTCTCTCTCTCTTCCTTACTAATTATTGACTATTCTTAAAGGCACCACCTTGTTCACCCAACTGCTGTTCGGCCCATGGCCATTATGTTTCACCTCTAAATAATTTTTAAAGTACCAATAATTAAATTATTTGTTAAAAAATAATTTAAATTAATTAATTTAATAACACTTTAATTTATAATATTTATTTTACAAAAAAATGATTATAAAAATTATTTTAAAAATTGACCATTTATTTTGAAAATTAAATAAATAATAACGTGGTTAGGCCTATTAGATTGGTTGATTCTTTTTCAAAAATGATGTACATAATTTTGTGTAGAAAAAGATTGTTCATATCTTGATTGACTCGTAGTGAGCCTTAACAAAGCCTAAGTAACACACCGTCAGCTCTACTTTGTAAAACAGAGACAATAATTAATTCCATCTTAAATGTTACGGTTATAATTTGCATGAAATAATCTGCAAATCATGTTGAAAAAGACTGGTACATTATATTAAAAATAAAATTAAGTGCGATTGATTATTAATTTTTCTTTTTATTCTACCTTCTCCAATCTAATATTACAAACAATGATTCTCCCCCTTTTCCCCCACCCTTTGACCCCCTCTCTCTCTCATTGGTTAACATTTTCCTTTTTCTCTTTTTCTTTTTTTCCTTGCCTCCAATCACCATCTGTGCCACTGCAAAGGGGTGCAGAGACGGTTGACCCCCCAAAAAGGGTCCCCAAAGCATATTCATATATTACTTCGCTTATTCGCAAAGACATAATGAAAAATTTTACATACCAACTATGAATTACCAAATCTACCAACCTTCCTCTTATGTAATTTGAGACCCACTATAATAGAAAATGTAAACACTAAACACATACACACATAATTTACGTACATTAAAAAATACACAAAAAATAAATTAGAAGAAAACAACAAACAATAATACACATAATGAGAGGACAGATTATTTCAACTAGATTGGTCCGACTGCAAGGTCCAGAAAACCCATGAACCAACCACATCAATAAAAAAACAAAATGCAAATCCGTTTAGTGGGAATTAAGTACAGTAGAATCGTCTTAGGAATGTTGATGGTGGATTAGAGCATGGAGATTGAGATAATTAAAGCCGTGAGCAATACCTATATTTGGTTTATATATTTTGATTAGGATATTAATCAATAGGTAAATTAACTCCTACACAAAATTAAGGAAATTAGTAATGAGTAGGGGTGGGATTATTAATCAATGATATTAATCCAATTGATAGTGAATACTAACTAATTTAATAAAATTATCATCCTTCATTACTAGTCTTGTGGAATTAAAACATGACTTATCATTTGAAGCTTGTGGATAGATGTCCAAACTTATCTTTGCCTTAGTTTGGCAGTCAGTTTAAATGATTTTTTTTCTTTTAATAGTATAAAATAAGTTAAAAAATAACTAAAATAAAAATTATAATCAAATTATAAGTATCTTATTTTTCTTTTATTAAAATTAACACAAAGTTAAAAATCAATCCAAACCAAATAAAATTTATCCAAAACTAAAATAACTAAAAAATCAAAAACAACCCTTCGTATTCACACCTGAGTTCTTCAATCTGATTTCCCATAAACAATCTTAAACTTATTACTTTTAGATTTGACATGATTTAAAAAAATAATAATCCCAATTATAATTTTTGAAGCATAACCATGTCCATCTAATTTTTAATTTCTATTCATAAAATATCTATTAATGTAAATGACGATATAAAGTGATATCTAAAATCTAATGTACTTTTTTCAAATGTAAACACTCCAATATGGTGCAAATTGAGTTATTACACATCCAAAATAACAAAATGGGATATAATAAAAAGTATGAGACTAATATGAATACAAGTTCAAAATAATGAACCTTCACTAAACAAGAAAGAACCCAAATAACACGGAACCTTTTTTGCAAATGGATAGTACCTGTTCAAAGAAGGTTCTTTGGAGCACGTTAAAGCCAACAGTCACAGTGCCGTCTCCAAAAACTTAGATTTTCATCGTAATGCCGCACAGTATTTTCCGTCGCAAAAAGCAGTTTGGCCGTTGCAAAAATGCGACGGCGTTACACTACCGGTCGCTAAAACCTTTTGCAACCCTTTCTTTCGACCCCCCACTTGCCCGTCGCAAAAAACTTTGAGACGGCATTTTGTGTATTCGACGGCATTTTAACGTCCAAAAACAATATTTTTTGTAGTGTAAATTTCCCTTGTAATTAATTAAACCAAAAAATAAAATTAAAATTTATTGTCAAATCAGCTAATTAAAATTATAAAGATCAAATAACACAAATCAAAATATAGAGATTATGACATAATTTTTTTTTTCTTCTTTGAATGGCAAAAAGAATATATTTTATAAATAAATATAAACATTACAAAAATGAAATGAAATCAGCAATATGCATCAATTGGTGAGCCAGATAGCTTCAACCCTATGCAACACACATAAACATTTTAGTTGGCAAAAACCGAATGAATAATAACACAACTCCCATACAGACTAAATCTACAATCTAAAACTCTACCTGTATTAGATTCCCAAAAAATGCTTCACTTGAGAGCCTGGTCTTCATTTCCTCCATCTTTTCACTTTCTAGTTTTGTATAAAAATTAGTTGTAATTAATCTTATTTAAAAGATTTAGAGATTAGAAATAAAAAAGAAGAACGAAGAGAAAAGATTTTGCGCTTGTAAGTTGCAGACTGTGAGTCATAAATTTCATATCTCAAATTCAACCCAAGAATTCACTAACAAAAAAAACACTTGGCGACTAAATTTTTAGTCGCCAAAGGTCCTATTTTTAGTCGCCAAATTCAAAATTCA